CGGCCATTACTTAACCAGAATGGGCCCTCCACAGGCCCTCCAAGTTCGGGACGGGGTCTACCCCCTAGCTCCCAAGTTGTGGACGAGCTGCTCCTATTGCCTCCTCCCACGTTTCCGTGTACTTGTGTATCAGTATTCGTAAGTTAGTTTGCCGATGCTGCTCTCACAACAAATTTCCACTTTGGGTTCCCATCGGGGTTTATGAATTTCTTAATCCGTTACTTCCAAATTGCCAGCATGCAATGAAACATTCGTTACCTGTCATTGCCATTCGTTACAGCTTTGTGTTTGGCCTTCATTGTTACGTTCTATACCTTAGTCCTGTTATTACCCCCCCCCCCCCCATGGACCAGAAAATAGCTTTCTTTGTGTCTCTCATTTCATGCACTGTGGGCTTCAGTTGCACTGCCTTTAGATGCATTACGAGCAAAAGGGCCCATTTGTAACCATGATGCCGTATTTTAAGGAACTGCCATCTTGTATTTGTCGTTCAAATTCATGGTATCTATTCCCGAGTCGTCTGATAGAGATGCCCCCAGTAATTTTAAAACTTGGCTATATTTCAGGCCCAGCTCTAAGCCTACGGGCTCTTTTTGGGGGCGTCAATTCCTATCCAAAGGGTTCTTGTTTTTTTCTTAATCCATTGGAGATAGGAACTAGATTCAAAACGTTTAACACTTCAGTTTACCTGGACAGGGAGGCTGATGATTCGTCTTCACCATAGATACGTCGTCAATGTATGCTGTTGGCTTGATATTGGCATTTGCAGCCTGAACGTTTTCAACGCCTTTAGATTGTTGATCATGTATTACTCTATCGGCTGGGGGTTGCAAAGCGAACAAAAATAGAAAACAGTTTAAAGAGCATCCCTCTTTAAGGTCACCCTGTAATGAAGTGGGAGGTCGAGAGAAACCCTTTCGGCGTTACTTGTGCAGTTGGTAGATTGGTATTTCTGTTGGCGTATCCATCTACGCTCTATAACATGCGGATCCATTTGTGGAAATGCTTTCAAAAGCCGCACCTAGCTGAGGTGTTTTTAATGAGGTCCCAGTGGATACAACAGTAGACGTCAGGATCTATTGTTGTTTTTACAGCAACTCACCACATCCAAAGAAAGACGGATGCCTTTGTTCATCGCCATTTCATGACTCGGCTTTGTCCAATGAGTAATAATCAATAATAAAGAAATGACATGCCGATGTATTACTCAATTATTTAGTGTTAAATGTGTCCTGCTAGCGCCTTAGTAGGCACCTTGTATATAACTTGTAATAAGCTTGTGCATCGTAGACATTTGACTTTTTGCTGTTTTTTTTCCTATTTGGCATTAGTGTAATGATACGGTCTTTATTTTCCTTCCCACCTACCGGCATCCGCACACTTGGGCGTATGCTTGATATATACGCTCTGCCAGCTGGTTCCAATACGCTTAAGGAAATTACGGAGTGGCAGCCGCTGTCCGGGCAAGTCCGTTTTGTATTGAGAGCGGTGCGTCTCTAATTTCCCGCAGATGGAGGAAGTGTATACAGGACTGACTGCACGCTTGTGGCGAATGAGATAAATGCCAAAAGATCTCATACTTCGTGCAGTGATCTTCTTTGCAGTGATCTTCTCCTGCATTGATTTTCCGGTAGTGATCTTTTTGGTTTATACTATGTTAATTACTCCTCACTGTCCTCAAATATTTTCTAGTTTGAATCATACAGTTCATCATCACTGCTGTGAATGAGGTACGTACCGACGCAGCGCGACAGCGGGAGGAATTCCCAAGTGTGCCCCCTTGCCCGCCGGTGCGCACTGCTACATCCCGGTCTGTCAACACCCAGCTGTCATTCCGAGATTCTACGCGGGCTAGCATTTTGCCATGCTATCTAGACGCTTGTCGTTGCCGCAGCGCCTGCAGCTGACCCACGACATCTGCCACTGCGACATCTGCCACGGCTCCTACCGCCGATCGCTGTGGCCGCGGGACGTGACCTTGACATTGGCGCCCCTCCAGCTGGCCACTTCGATCTTCAGGAATGCCCTGACCCGACTAGATCACCGCCGCTGCACTCGGTCGCCGCGCTCAGCGACCTTGACCGCGAGACCTTGACCGCGGGCGTCCTCGTCCACCAGTCAGCTGACTGCCGGCGCCGGCCCTCGTGGGCGGCCGGCCAGCCTGCTCAGCCCCTGTATCGACCCGGAAACATAGGCAGAGGGAGGGGGGGGGGGGGGAAGAACACGACGCAGGAGAGCAGGACTGCCCTGAGCACGCCGTAGCGAGAGCTCCCGCGGCAGCGCGATCATAGGACGCTCCCTCGTTGAAGCCACAGGAAGCCGTCCCGGGGAGTGACGTAAACGATGCGCGCGGGCTCAGCGTTTTGGTGGTATGTGAGACTTTGCCGGCTTCGAATGGCCCCAGCAGGCTGCTTGCCGCCGCTGCTTGTAGGATGTATATATATATATATATATATATATATATATATATATATATATGCATATATATATATATATATGTGTATATAATAGGATATATATAGTTGCGACCGGTCGGCCCGCCGCGAGGTAGCCCAGGGATGAGGCGATGGAGTCCTAACTGATGGACTCGCGTTCCGTCCTGTCTTACCAATGTAGGAGGGTTTTTTTACCCAGGAAACACAGCTGGCATGTTATCTCGTAGATAACGCTGCGCGTGGGGTCGTGGGCAGGTGCCCAACGCGCACCGCCACCTACAAGATAGCAGGCGTATTGTAGGTACCTGTTAAGAAATCCTCCTGAAATAGTGAGGCAACGCGTCATTTACGTCTCTCGACAGTCGTATTAGAAAGGAAACCGCCCACGGATTCGATCTCACCAGAAAGACTCACCACGACGATCTTCCGTGCCTGATAAGATATGGCGGAGCTAAAAAAAAAAACGCTGGATAAATGACCATGTATCATTACAAACCAAACCTTAACAAGCGTGCATCATCGCGGCAGCTTTTATCACCCACCATCCCACTGGTGTCTCCTCTTGATGCCATCGTCATCCTTTATGCTATTCGCCCAGTGTTTGCTCATCTCATGCGATTTTTCACGTGTTTTTTGCATGAGTCGTTCTGGTGTACGTGAACATGGTCTGGATCTGAAAGTTATTTCCAGCAAGATTGTCTAAGATGTAAAAACCCGCTTCATCGTTTTGTTAGTTGATAAGAAGCTGTTACTTGGAAATACAGAAACTGAGGAAGCCATCGAAGGCAAAGCACTTGTCCTGGTTTCGGGCCTTTTTAAGATGTCCTACGACTTTTAGTTGATGTTCTTATCATAATCAGGATTCAAATATATTGATCCGTATTAAAACCCATTCGCTAATTGCATCACGATGCCCAATTTAACATTAGGTCAAACTTGTAGCAAAGCTTGGTCAATGCAAAAATACCGTGAGGTACTTACTGCTCCTGCGTTTCCGCTTCGCGCGCGCAACCACAGCGCGGCGGCCGGCTGGCCAGCTGGAAGCGCACGGCCGCCAGAACGTCAAGGAAGTCACGCCCTACGGCCACGCCTGATGCTTAAGGGCGTAAACCCTCAGCGGCACGTAAACATAAGAACTAAAAGCCAACAGGGGTTAAAGCTAAAGGCTAGTGCATTTGTAGCTAGAGAGGGTATTGCTATCTGTTCAGCGTGCCCTTGATAAAGTATTTTTGGATTTAATGTTCCGAAATAATTGATATGTATGTGACGTTTCAGACCCATATCAAGCATTTTATGCCCATAGACCAGATTTCTGGGTTGAATAGATGCCAGATCCAGAGGATGGCCATTCAGGTAACTAAATATCCGACAGTATTGAAAGGGAATTATTGCCAATAAAAACTGGTTTCAATCCGGACTGGGTAACAAAATCTAGAATAATCTGCAATAAAATAAGTGATTCAGTCATCATTTGGAAATTAACTGCAAACCTGTGTGCAGTAATGCGTTCGTAACAAGCGATGCCGCTTTGCAATTCTCCCCATCCCTCCCGCTGGTCTGGCCTTCCCGCGACGTCCCATGACCCCGCCCATCGGCCGCAGTATATTAGTGTGGGCAGCAGACTGGATCGAGCCGCGGCTCGGGGCGGACCGGTGCATTCATGAATACGCCCCATGCCCGAGTCTTGACTGGTGGCACTAACCCTGAATGGGAATGACGGCGGAACACGCCACGGAGTGAGCTCGCCGGACCTGGCCCGAGTGACGTCACCCGCTCCGGTTTTCAGCCCAGCTCATCCAGGTCGACAGAGCAGTCGTCTGGCGGCGGCTGGCGGCGGCGGCTGGCAGCCGGTCAGCTTACTCAGTGAGCTGAAGTGGCCACCGCAAGGCTGAACGGTGCAATAAGACCCGCGGGCAACGGCAGCGGTGGTGCAGCGGTAATCCGAGCGCGTCGAAGGGACTGCGGCGTGGCGGGGAGGGGAGAGAGGCCGCCCGAGCTGCAGCATACAGCCTCAGGGAGGCACCTGCGTCGGCAGTCCAGGCTGCAACACAGGAACCGCGCGGAGGCGGAGGGGAGGCGGCGGCCCGAGCTGTGCCACAGGAGCCGTAGGGAAGCGGCGGCGGCCCGGGCTACGCCGCAGGAGCCGCAGGGAGGCAGAGAGGGAGACGGCGGCCCGAGCTGCGCCATGGGAACCGCAGGGGGGGGGGGGGGGGGGGCGGAGCGGAGGCGGTGGTCCGGGCTGCGCCACAGGAGCCGCAGGGAGGCGGGGCGGAGGCGGTGATCCGGGCTGCGCTACAGGAGCCGCAGGGAGGCGGCGAGCGCTCGATGCCGACACCTCAGACGCCCGGCGGTGAGTCAGCTTGTAAAGCCGGCGGGCCGGGCGGCGCGGTCGATAACGCGGCCCAGGGCCGCCGGTACCGCCGGCTACGGCCGGGGCAGCCGCCACTTTACTGACCCCGATGACGGACCGTTCGCCGCTGATTCAGGGCGGACAGCCAGTCGAGCGCCGCTCATCACCGCAAACCAGCGTCGGTAGCTGGACGGCGGCCGCTTACACAACGCCACTCCAAATCTAGCTGCTTTATTCGCGGTGCTCACAGCTGTTTGTCTCTCGAACAGACTATGACGTCGGCCAGCTGACTAGAGGTGTCTGTCGGGACACGGGACCCGACCTCGTCTGGACCAGTTCGACACCCGCGAACGCGGTCCAGGCCGAGCGGAGGGCGCTGGCCCCCAGAATAGCACCGCCCGTGGGCACCGGCCTCGGGTACGTCACATCACGCACTTACAGAGTACGGGAGACATTGCGAACGAATAGGAGGAGGAGCACAAGGAATGTTTCAAACAGCTGCCCTCGAGAGGGCCGGTGCGGGTTATACAGTACACGTAACGTAAAGCCCTGCCGGTCTCAATACTGGCAAGCGAGCTAACGAGGTAAAGCTGAAATTCCGTGGCACATCGTCATCGCCAGGAAATATAACTAGAAACAATGGATAGGACATCAAAGCATGGCACATCACATATACGTGGTATAATCTCATTCGGATATATAGCCGCATACATCACGTCTAAAATGCACGCTAGCTACCGCGATTCACAGTGTCAAACCGAAGCGTATACACAAGGTACGTTTATATACACTTATGATGGCCGACCAATAACCTTTTGTTTGATGTCCATTTATGAGGAAACGCTCAACCATCAAACAGAAACGCCTGCGGCCGCTGGGGGCAGCGCACACCTTGCAGACACACTGTCGATTGCTGCAGTGCCGTCCCCGGCTGGTGCCTTCATTTGCTCTCAAAGTATCGGTAGGTGGGATTCTCATAGCCGTTGACCTGCATCTGGGCCACGTGCGGCTCCTCGGGCGCGGCCGCCTGGTCGACCTCGACGAAGCCGAGGTTGCGCGGCGCTCGCTGGCGGCGTCGCAGCGTGAGCACGCCCGCCACCAGCGCCACGGTGAGCGCGATGCTGGCCAGCGCCACGGTGAAGTAGAGACCGCGCCCGCCGCCTCCGCTCGCCGGGCGACGCACGCGGTAAGTCGCCTCGCCCTGCGTGTGCTCGTGCGACTGGGCGTGCGAAAGGATCGGCTGGACGCGTCTTTCGGCCATGGCCGCCTCGGTCCGGCCCACCGCCTCGTCTTCCATCGTCTCCGGGTCGAAGTCGTCCACCGGGTGGCCGGCCGAAGCCTCCACACGCCGCATCTCCTGGCGCGCCTCCTGGTTGGTGGCCTGCTTGGCGTCACGTGCGCGCCGCTCGTCTGCGAGGATGCGCTGCTTGGTGGCCCGGTCGTCGGCCGCCTTGCGGACCATGTCCTGGACCTCGGCAGCGGCATCCAGCGAGAGGCCAGACGTCAGCTCGGCCGGCGTCGAGTCCTGGCGACGCAGCTCACCCAGCGTCTGAGACAGCTCCGGTAGAATCTTCACCTTGATGGACGGGTAGCGGTCCAGCATGTGCACGCTGTCGTTGACCATGAGGTCAATGTCACGAAGGTGCTGGACTGTGGCGGCCTGCTGGTCGCTGGCCGCCTCTGGGTCGGTGGAAAGGAGGTGCCGGAAGTGGGAGATGGTATGGTGCCGGTCCTTGTACAGGGCTCGCACAAACCGACTCAGGCACTTGTGTACCGAACTGGTCTGCGGTGGTTTCTCATTCAGCGCACGGATAAAGCACGACCTGCTGTCCTTCTTTCGTTCATTGATGTGAGCGACGATCCGCTGCTGGTGAAGGCCAACCAGCTGCTGTTTTTCCGCTGAGCCCTGGTCTTTGAGCTCATTCATCAGCTTCTGGAAGTGGGCTGTCATCTTCAGTTTGAACTTGTCTGCCTCTGCCGGGTTGCTGGCTTTTATCTTCTGGTACTTTTCCTCCAGCTCAGTCCACTTGTGCATGATCCTCTTCATCTTCCTTCTCTGCGCCGTCTCCAGACGCTTTTCGGCCGCCCTGAAGGCGTCATGCTCGACTCGCGGGTCGAATCGGGTCAAGTAAGGGTCCCGGGTGGTCTCCACAGTTTCATTATCTGGCTCCAGAGTGATCTCCTCAGCGTCGATGTTGATCTCGGACGTCAGCTGAGGCGGGTAGTTCTTCTCGAATGGCTGGGGTTTCGGGGTGGGGTCGTTTTCCTTCGGGCAGCAGACAAATTCGACACCAGTGAATATGTCGGTGCCGCAAGGAAGCAGCATAGCAAAGGTTCTCAGATTCATTCTGCGCTCACGGCACGCCTTGTCTGCAGTCATGTTCCACTTATCAAAATCCCAACACCAAGACCCATTGTGGATATGGTCAAATTGGCATGGTTCAGGAACCAATAAAGCGTCTGACTGGAATTTCCCTTCCAGGCATCTGTAAGGCTTGACCCAGTATGACTCCTTGCATTCTTCATGTCCAACCTTGCACCAGTCATCGATCATGAAGGAGTGAGTCGATTCAACGATGTTGGTCACCTCCAGCTTCGGGTACAGCTTTTTGCAATAGTCCAGAATGGCGTCCTTGTTCTGAAGACAGCCGTCTTGGTGAGCCAGATCTGTGACCCAGCGTCCGGCGGAGTCCATGTACTGGTTGTGGTACAGCGACGCCTGATCGCAAACCATCGCTACCTGAGGTTCTGAGCGAGGCTGTGGCGTATCAACACTCGCTCCAACGGCTTCGACGTATCCATCACTGAATTTTGATATTGACAGCAGGGTAACGATGAGCAGGAGCTGCCTCCCCGCCATGCTCACCGTATCGACGGCCGCCGACCCCGAGCACCGCTCTCCCACCCGCACAGACGGCACCAACTACGCCGGAGCGCCCAGCGCCCGTCCCAGCACGACACAGCGCTGGAATCGATACGCCGACAGTGAGGCTTAATGTTCGTGCGCGAGCTGTTCGTCGGTTAGCAAGAAGCTGCCTAACCATAGTTTAGCTGCATTCGCCATGACTCGAACATAACTGACAACTAGGTACAAAAAGACGTGGCGTGAGCCGCGTTCAAAACATCCCTAAAAACATTCCAATCTATACTGCTTAGTATGAGTGTAATCTTCGCAACCAATTGTGTAGATGGGTTTGTTTCAAGCCGCCTACCGTGCACTGCTCTGCTGCAGAAATGACGCTGTGTAGTGGCCAATCGTTATCAGTAGCGGTCTCGGTTATCGGGGTGTTTCAGCTCGCTGGCGACAGATGGCAGCAGGCACCAAAGGCAAGGGGCAATAGCACACAAGGGAAGAGGGTGTGTTTGCGGTCTGTCTCACGAAAAGAATGCAAACGTTGCTGTAGTTGCCATCCACCATCTTGCTCTGGTACTGTCGCCATTAGAAAGTTTTGACGGTGATGACAGCTTGCGCCAGTCGAAATGTGGCTGTCAAAGGTGACGTCATCTTACCACGGTACAACACATTGGCTGCAAAGCAGCATGCAGTAGGCGGCTGGGAGCATATCTTAGAGCGCAGTGGTGATCACGGCGTAATTATATTTAAATGGCGTTAATGAGCACTACCTCCGTAAACAGTGGAAAAGCGGAAGTTGCCGGGTGCATGGGCGTAGAAACAAGAGAGACTAAGCGAACCATACCCCCTCCCATACACAATTGTCATGGTAGAAGGCCAGCAATGTTAACGGGCCACACATTTTCCGATTTAAACTGCGACTAGTTTACTTTTGTAGTACAGACTCATGCGGGTTCACCTAGCTCAGCATTCATGTTACTCAAACTGCACTGGACACAACTGCTGTATGTGGTGAATAGCAGCATCTTATCCCACCATGTACGACGAACGGAAATTTTCAGGGACACTCCCAGGCTACTCTAGTGCCAAAGGTTCCGTTCGGTCTTTTCATACAGCCTCGATACTTCTGTGTGCGCGCTTGCGCATACGTCTGCTTACGTGCTTACTTTGCGTGCATGCGTGACCTCAACATGGGCTCATCGAGCTCAAGATGGATATGCTATTAGCGCTTATATATATATATATATATATATATATATATATATATATATATATATATATATATATATATATATGGGCGGTTAGCGTAGTCCAGCACATCAGGCCAAAATGAGGTTTGATAAAATGCCGGTCTTGCATGTAACTTGCGCAAAATTATCCATTTTGCGCATCCGGTTGAAAAATTTAAACGTTTAATGAAATGCCACAAGTGGGTTAGCGTTTACTATAAGCGCTGTTAATCCACTATTTGCCTGCGTGACCAATGTGTCACTCTTATGTATTTCATGAAATGTTAGGAGAGCATTGAGCTTTTAAAGCAAGGTGTGACCAAATCAAGCATAGTTTTAGTAATGACAGGAATAGGAACCGAGCCACTTTTGCTCTTTGTGCCTTCGTTTTATCGAAAGTAACGAACCTCACGAGCTCCCCATGCGTTAGCCATGTGGTATTCAGCCGTTTCAAAACACAATTTATTTGGAGTAAGTCTTCAGTAAGGTGACGGGGCGTTCGAGTATATCCTGGTAACCACTCCTGTCAATACAAAGATCAGAAAGCCATGAGTTTGCCGCAGGCATTTATGAGCGGTTCTGGTTTCAGGGACAGCAGGTCAGCAGGGGGGCGCTCGTCAGGCAAGGGCAAAACGGTACAATGCTATGATATGCGCCACACAACGCGAGCAATGCGTTCGTCTACATGTCCAGATGTGGCGCCCTGTGTTAACGACAAGACTGTAGCAAATGATGAAGTTTGTCAGTCTCGCACTAGTTAAGTTTTGGGGAAGAAAGCTGTCGCATCCCATCATTGAGTACTGCTTGTGTTGGGCCGTGATAAGCATGCCGCTGTCTTCCAAAACACGAACAAAGGTGCTCCTCCCAGCACAATTTAGAGCTGGATCCTGGTCCCCGGTGGATCCCTGGTTTGATTCCAAACTGGTCGTGTGGTTCTCAAAATTCTCCTCGGGGACAGATGTCAAATTTTCCCCAAAACACTAGAAATATGTACCAGATTATTGAGAATTACACAATATCTAGTGCATGCGTTTTCGACCAGGAGCCTGCCTCTGATTAGTGATTACCTGTTTTTTATGCCATGCGATGTAATTTTGTGCATGCGATAGGTTGTCCTTGTAATATATGAGCGTATCGACCAGTAAGGTAGGTAAACCATTTCAGAATGTGTGCCTTACAGTACACTGAGGGATTTAAGTGGACAGTTGTGCTACCCGGTTTGTGTCAATGTTTTCCGACGGCAAACCATCTTTTGACGCTTAGTTCCTTTAATCATCAGTCATCGTCATTTTGTACCGTCAGCGGTCATCCACCCAAGTAAGTGTTGTTGTGTTATGACAATGTCAGACTTCCAGTACGCGGTATTTTCGCTGGCTTTGTCAGCATTCTTCCTACAGTCAGGTACCGTCCTATCACGAGTTTGCTGATTGCTGGGACTACAATTTTTCAGTGTCTGGCAGTGCGAACAGTAGGATTCGTGATGAAAGTGTCGTTTGAAGGATACTGGTAATACATGATTCCCAACTTCCTACGGTAGGACTGGCTCATGTGCAGATATGCGATGCATTCACTGCAAGGTTATAAATAGCTATCTCTGCTCACAAATGAGCCAGCGTCAACATCTACCGCCCACACAAGGGCAAAAGTGAGCTTCGGCAATCCATCGATCTAAGCAACATCTCGAGAAGGCTCCGTGCTCCCAGTGAGGCTCCGTGCTCCCGGTGAGGCTCCGTGCTCCCAGTGAGGCTCCGTGCTCCCGGTGAGGCTCCGTGCTCCCAGCGAGGCTCCGTGCTCCCAGTGAGGCTCCGTGCTCCCAGTGAGGCTTCGTGCTCCCAGTAAGGCTCCGTGCTCCCAGTGAGGCTTCGTGCTCCCAGTGAGGCTCCGTGCTCCCAGTGAGGCTCCGTGCTCCCGGCGTACCATCACTTTTTGTTCAGCTGACCAGGTAATCATATTGAGGTCAATAGGGAAGCTGCCTGTGCTGCTAGATAATTCCTGTTATGTTTTGTATAGGATGATGGAATGTGGTATGGAGGTGGTGTCGGAGTGGTAATGGTGCAAACTTAACAGGGTGTAAGAAACCTGGGCTGCAGTCGCAGCGATAGTGACTTGGCTTTAAGCCGCCATGCAAAGGCCTGGTCATTAAGCAACATGATGAGCGGCTAGTCATAATAAGCAGCCTTTTGTAGCTTTGACATCAAAATGTTGCTTATTCACATGTGCATGTGTGTTTGTGAGGTAGAAATCAATTTCACGATTTTATGCTTTTCCTCTTTTTATTTGTGGAAGTGCATGGAAGTTTGCGATGGACGAAGTTGTCGTGCATCATTCAGTAATTTACGAGACTTGAGAGGGTCATCTAGCCAGCCGACGTCAAGACCTGAAGGATCATCCAGGCAGCCGACGTCGGGACCTGAGGGGTCATCTAGCCAGCCGACACCAAGGCCCGATACGTCATCCAGCCAGCGAACATCGAGACCTGAGGGATCATCCAGCCAGCGAACATCGAGACCTGAGGGGTCATCTAGCCAGCGAACATCGAGACCTGAGGGGTCATCTAGCCGGCGAACATCGAGACCTGAGGGGTCATCCAGCCAGCGAACATCGAGACCTGAGGGGTCATCTAGCCAGCGAACATCGAGACCTGAGGGGTCATCCAGCCAGCGAACATCGAGACCTGAGGGGTCATCCAGCCAGCGAACATCGAGACCTGAGGGGTCATCTAGCCAGCGAACATCGAGACCTGAGGGGTCATCTAGCCGGCGAACATCGAGACCTGAGGGGTCATCTAGCCAGCGAACATCGAGACCTGAGGGGTCATCTAGCCAGCGAACATCGAGACCTGAGGGGTCATCCAGCCAGTGAACATCGAGACCTGAGGGGTCATCTAGCCAGCCGACATCCAGTCAACGCGACTCGGGGTTGGGGCGTTCGAGTTGTGCGCATTGCGGTCCGGCTGTGTTTCGGACGCCCGAGTTGTGCGCCCAGCGGTGGCCATGCGGCGTGGTTCGGGCGCCCGAGTTGTCCGCCCAGCGGGGGTCATACGGCATGGTTCGGGCGCTCGAGTTGGGCGCCCAGTAGGCCCAATGTGCTGTAGCTCAGGCGTTTGCGTTTTGCTGCCGCCCGAGACAGCCCGACCATTTACCGCGGTACCGTATTTGCCGTGCACCGTGAGCGGTGGCTTTCCAGTGATCTAGCGGCTGTATGGCTGGGTCGTACACGAAGATGACACGCGATGCTCATGCCGTTAGTCTGGGCCGTCGGCGCCACCTTCTGATGATTGTTGATGGCTTCAGAATGCGGTTTGGTCACGATTCGGACTGATCAGGTTGATTGTGGATTCCTCCTTTACAAGGTGGGGCTTGTTAAACGACCGCGGCCTGGGATGCGGAGTCCTTTCATCCAAACTGCTGATGGCCGAGACTCGTGTAGTAGTGTGAAACAGACGCGACGGCCACTTGGCACGCCTCTGTTTGTCGATCATGCGGTGGCCCGGCGCATCGGTGCCTCCATGTTTCAAAGATTCGCCAGATGGATGAGTCAGAGAGCATGCACAACGCGAGAAGTCCGTGGCGCGATCGCGGCTCTGGTCACGCTTCGCGCGCTCGAGCTGGCTGGCTGCGCGAGCGCGCGCTGTCGAGCGCTCCGGCAGAGCGTTCCATGTTTGTTTCACTGCCGACGATGGTGTGCACATTTGCAACGTGTGCCATGTGTAAGCACGAGCAGTGATGATTTATTCGCCATCAATAAAAGACGATGCACCTTTCTGTCTACGTTTGTTAAGGGCTTGTTACGTTTTACGCCCCATGGCGGAATGAGGAAAGCCAAGTTGTGTAATATTCAACGCATGCCCTTCGATCACTATGAAGTGGA